GTCCAATCCACCAGCGACCGGTAGATATTTTCAGGTGGATCGGCTCCATAAGCTAATGCCTGCTGAATGTGGGGACCTGCATTATTTTTCAGGAGATGCAGTAAAACTTCCTGATCACGCTGTGCATCTTCTAATCCTGAGTGCTCTTTGTATGTCACCCATAAACGCTCTGCATAGATTTCAAATGGTTCTTTTCTGGCCTACTTTATATAACGAATTCTGTTCCATTCAGCATGTGTTGGTCCCCTTAACTCTAACAGAGCTTCTTTTATTCTTTCATAAACTTCAGCATCTCTTTCACCTTCCTGCTTAATCACAATTTCTCCAGATCTTAACTCATTGGGCATTTTTTATTTAAGTTCCTCTGGGATAGTGAGGAGGGCTATTTGCCAAAAATCTCTGACCTCTAAATTATACACTGATGCCTGCAACATTAGGTTGTCCCAGTAGGGCTGTAAAGGGACTTTCCTTGGCATCATGCCCACTACTTCTTTGTGTCTACTACATTCTTCACAAGTTAAAGGTCGACTAATGGTAGTAACTTCATCATCAGCGTTGGTCATTGTTTTAAGCACACCAATTCGTACAGGTTTGCTGAGAACTACACCGGATTTAGTTTGAGTTCTTATTGGACTGCGTTGTCTTGGTTCTTCGGGTCTATTAGGACTCTGGTGTAGTGTGGTTATTGACGTTCACAACACGTCTCAGGACCTACTCACTGTCGAAATCATACTCTAGATTTAATACTGTCACATGGAATTGATATTGATGGTGTTGAAATTATGCAGCCAAGCATTGCAAAGATACTATTTAGACTGAACTGAGCTGGATGATGACATCGCTGAATTCAATGATGAACTGCCTTTAACTGAAAAATTAGTGTTTATTATTGCCACTTTGCATTATTGACACACTATTTTCCTAATTAATGCTGTTCAGTTGCTTTGACACAATCTGTATTGTTAAAAGCGCTATATAAATAAAGGTGACTTGACTTGACTTGACCCAAATCAGAAAAAGCAACCATAAATTTAAGATTATAAAAACATCACAGAACTTTTGCTGGGACATGAAGTGACCTGAGAAAAAACAACATCTGGAAAGGACCTTATCAGGGGCACAACCCACACCAGGGGCCTCATTTATAAAATGTGCGTATGCACAGATTTGATCTTAGAGTGTGTGTACGCTAAAATCCACGGCAACGTTCATATTTATAAAAACAGTCTTTGACGTGGAAAAGTACTTACCGCCACGTCAGGGTCTGAGCAGGCGTACGCACTTTTACTTGTGGCAAAGTCGGAGTAATGCAGCCATTTGAACATCTAAGCTGCAATAATTATAAATGCGGTGTACGTGCAAGCACCGAATTCATCATAAACAACAAAGATGCAAAGAAAGAGATTAATGTACTGTAGTCAGACTTTTTATTAACGGGAGTTTTTGCGAGATTAATCTGACCTTTTTAGTAGCCTAATGTTGAGAGTTCTTTACTCGCTTTCTGTACACAGTTTATTCCATGTTGTTGTTTTTTTTTATTTTATTTTACAATGGAACTTGTGAAGTCTTGATTTACTACTTATTAGTAAAATAGAAAAAAACCTCCAACTGTTTTGCCAGTTATGTCGAGCAATAACGGTTTTAATATAACATTGTTAACAGTTTTAAACTGTGTAAATATAAAGAAATGCCAAATCACATGCAGGTTTTTTCAGACCGGAGACCATAATCGTGTAATTTATTTTATTATGATATGAAACGTCCAATTTTTCTTTGTATAATGTTTTTTAAAGTTTTGCAAGAATTTCGTGATACTAAACTTTTTATTATTTGTCATAGCAAGTGATTTTAAAAGTAGGATGGCTCACTTTTTATAAGATGACTGAGGCCCCAGAAGAACAGAATTTCCTCAGTTTTGAGATCTTTATTTTTGGACTGTTCTACTGATATGAGACTGAGATCATATTTCCAATTGCACTGGACTGTAAAATTGATACCAAACATGAAAGGGTTATGCTTATGAATTCTGAAGATATAGTAAATGCTTGATATAAGTATAGTAACTTGAGTTCTGGACACCCCTAAGTCAACTTTTATGGCCTGGGCCATCTGCTCAGGAAGGAAGGAGGGGGCCTAAGAATGGGTGAAGGGATAGATGGGCAAATGGTCTTTCTCCCAGATCTTCCTGTCAGATTAGAAAGTTTATTGTTTTGTTGTATGGCATGTGTGTTGCGAGAATTCCTGATTTTTGGCTTCACGAGGAGATCAGAGCCCCCTTACACTATCCTGAATTAAAGTTTGTATGCGTGTCTCTAATTCTGAAACCTTCTCTGTCAGCCTAACTATTTCCCTGCATTTATCACATGTGAATCCCTCGTCGCCGACAGAGAGAGATAAACTATATGTGGCAAGCGGTGCAAACAACAATAGCAGGAGAAGAAGCCATTACTCACTGAGATTGATGAATGATTCTGACTTACCACTGTTGTTTGATGAACTCGTGAATAAACGGAGCGAGAGAAAAAAAAAGAAAACAGCAAAAGAGCGAATGGAAATACGAATGACAAGCTAACCGGCTAACGAATGCTAACGCGCTGCACTCACGGTTTTAGAATAAAAGCGAATGATCAAATGAATCAGATTAGTTTGATATATAATATCAGAAATAAGGTGGGAATTAAGTTATATTTTATCACTTTAAACAACAGAGAGTGATAGTAAGATAGAGATTCAACAGAAAAGCAGAGATACATGGAGCTACAATCACAAACCACTCTGCAGCACGGTACACAGGAAACGGAAGTCAAGGACTAATGAAGTCAAGTCGTTAGTGCAGAGATTAGTGTATTTTGTAAAACATTTAGATTTTTATCACTTAATTAGAAGCGCTTCAGTTCTCTGGCCCCTGTAATTGTCTTCTGTCACAGAGAAATATTTAAAGTGCCAAAGTTTTGAAAATCAAAATGTATAAATAAAGTGTTTTGGTGTGTCCTACGGGCTAATTGAATGTTCTACACCGCTGCAGTCTTCAAGCCCACTTAAATAACTGGGCCAAATACAGGAGATAGGTATCATGTAATTAGAGAGTGGTCGGATGCTGCAGACTGCAGGTGTGGCTGTTGTTGGGATGGGCCCGGGATGTGCCTGAATCAGCTGCTGTTGTTTCTTGTTCTGCTTTATGACTTTTCATCTTTTAGACAACTTGGTTGCTGCTCTTGAGGTTGCACAATGATGTTTGATCATGAATGAATGATGTATTAAGAAGTGTAGTCATTCTAAGGCTTTTGTTTGATTGGGACTCATAATCAGCTGCAGTTAAATAATATGGGATATATATGCAAGAAATTTGAAGTCATATTCCGTGAAGTCAAGTCATATTATAAAATGCATATTCATTGAAATGAAATGTGTATTATAAAGTAAAAAGTGTCACACATTATTTTCTGCATAATCGATTTATTTTGGTGTATTTGGATACAGCACATGGTAGCACAGCTAGTAGCTGAAGAAGCTCCACACTTCCCACTACATCCATCACGATTTCAGAGATCACTCACAGAGACTGTGATCCTTTGAAATACCACTCTGACTACATTTTTATTGTCATGTTAGTGTTTCCATTTACAAATAAGAAAGCAGAGGTAAGAAGAAGCTTACATACAATACGGAGATATCCCACAGAGCTTGGAGGGATGGTGACGGTGTAGGATCGCTTTAGCTCCTTCACAGCTCATCGTGTAAAGCCATGCACTGCAATTCCACCCCTTTTACTCAAGTCTTTTTTGTAGGAAAATAGATTTTAATGCATACACAGGCTTACATACATTTGTTGTAAATATTCCTAATAATCTGATTTTAACCAGGCGTTCACAGCATGACTTTGATCAGTACAATTCAGGATGCTGTATGAGTGGCAGAAGACGACTGTGAAGTCAGACAAACGAGGTTACAGTTAACTCAAAGCCCTAATTACTGTCTGAAGATCTTTCTACTTCTTCTGTTATAAAATCAAATAAAGTATCAAGCCACAAATGTCTTCTGGTTGGTTGAGATGTGATGATGTCATTAAACTGCAGGCCCGTCATGACATCATCACTGCTCCTCCCAGACCAGATAAAGCATAATAATAAGAGGAAAATGCTCTGAAACACTAAATCTCTAACTGAGCATGAGACCATGAATGTGGTATAAATATGTTAAAGGTGAAAACATACCAAATATTTGTTGTAAAAGATGACTTACATTCAGAATATGAACCATCAATTTGTTCTTTTGTAGTGTGTGTCTATTTGCCTGTCCTGTATCATATGCTGCCATCAGCTCATAAAACTGTTCAAGGCTATTTTCTTCAGACAGGAACAGCCCAACTTCATTTATGTCAATGAATGCTAGAAAGAACAACTGATGACAAATGTGTGATAGATTATACTGTATGACTATGTTATTGTTAGTAATAATTCACTGTACATAATTAGCAATGTTTGACAGACACTGGAGCACAGCAGTTCTCCGACTCTGCCAGCCGGGGTTTGGCCTCAGCGTTACAGCACGGCCTCACACTACGTCAACTACAGCTCATGCTGTTATTTGCTGCAGGAAATCCTTTTTTTGTTGTTGTTTTTTCTTTTAAAAATATATGTTAGTTTCAAGATCACAAAATTTGGCTTTAGTGCAGCGGCTGTATGTATTTCAAAGGGATTTAACGTAATAAATTGCATCAAAAACACCATTATTTTAAAAACTTGCTTGGGTAACACACTTGGACAACAATACAAACGATACACAGTTAAAAGCCCTGAACTTTGATTATTAAGACAGAGAGACAAACATGGCAGATTAATAATGTTCATACATACTGTATTATAAAACATGAATTCGTAAAGATAATCGCAAAAAATAAAATAATAGTAATAAATAAAAACATGATCTAAACCAAATATATTAGCCTTAATGAAAACAAAAAGATGTATATACATGTATTTCATATATTAAAAACAATGTAAGAAGAACGTGTAAGAATAATACAAAAACAATACTTAAAATTATTTTCACGTTTTGTAATCGTGAATGGGAAAAGAATGCCTTCAAATCATAATGAAAATTAAAAGATTTTTCAGATCTGACTTCTGTTGACTGCAGTGATTTCAGCTGATGTATTCGACATAAGGCATTGTTCAGAGAGGCAGCAAAATCAGTTCGTTTTGGTGTATCTTTAGTCTGACATTTCTGGAAATGCATCTTAGCCTGTACTGACTGAAACACTGACTACACCGTCTGAACAGTCACTCCTACACCACGTGAACAAGGCCTCAGTCTGTCCTACACTCTCAAACAGCTGTATTCGCTTGTGTCTGTTGTCTATCACACCTTATTCTACAGAAATTCAGCGAGGGAACTGGACAAACGTCCAGTGAGGGAGAATGTACAGTCCAAACATCACTTGAAGCAGCGAGGTGAGCATATTGTAAACAGTTTTCAGTGCCTGGATGGAATGTTAGACGCAACTGTCCTGCAGGCTATTCGTGTCATTATTATGTGAGAGTGAAGCCGCCGGTGTTTGCAGATTATGTTTCTTGCATCATATAGTAACGACTGTCTGTCCTGAAATCAGTACCCTGTCTAATACCACCAGGGCCCCTCATTCAGATGGTCAAGGATGTGTGTGTGTGGCGGTGGAGTGTTAGTTTGGCCCCAGGAATCCTGTCACAGACGTGGGAAAGCTGGTGCTGGCCGGAGGCATGTTGGGATTGACGGGAGACGTGGTGCCCGAGCTGCCGTGAGTGCCGTGACCGTTCGGATCTCTGTGTCCGCTGTACTGGCCGATGAAGGAGCCGTCCTCGTTAAACTGGATGTCCACACTGTCTCCGTAGTCAGCTAGACTGTCGTTGCTGCTGCGCTTGCTCTCGCAGACTGACTGCTGACTGATGGAGCACTTCTCGTTATCACTGAAGGAGATACAGAGAAGACGCTTGGATTACAGCTGACCAGGAAATAAGAGCACAGTCACGACACAGTTAGTGAGAGAAAGCTGTTCTTACCTCTCCAGAGATCTGTGTGTGTGAGAGCGTGAGTATGAAAGCAGAGACAAACCATCAGCATTAGATGTTAGCAGCTTAATTCATTAATCAACATTTCAGGGTCAGATTTCACCCAAAATCTTTTTTTTCTTCTTTATCTGTCATTATTTTCATGACAATTAACGTGAGTGCCGTGACTGTTCGGATCTCTGTGTCCGCTGTACTGGCCGATGAAGGAGCCGTCCTCGTTAAACTGGATGTCCACACTGTCTCCGTAGTCAGCTAGACTGTCGTTGCTGCTGCGCTTGCTCTCGCAGACTGACTGCTGACTGATGGAGCACTTCTCGTTATCACTGAAGGAGATACAGAGAAGACGCTTGGATTACAGCTGACCAGGAAATAAGAGCACAGTCACGACACAGTTAGTGAGAGAAAGCTGTTCTTACCTCTCCAGAGATCTGTGTGTGTGAGAGCGTGAGTATGAAAGCAGAGACAAACCATCAGCATTAGATGTTAGCAGCTTAATTCATTAATCAACATTTCAGGGTCAGATTTCACCCAAAATCTTTTTTTTCTTCTTTATCTGTCATTATTTTCATGACAATTAAGCACACTTCTCCCAGAATTTAATTAATCTAATTAATAGCATATTAATCACATCAAATTTGGCAGATGAAAATTACCCACAAAAGATCATTTAAAGCCATTATTGTGTTACATGACAAAAGCATGAAATAGATATCACAAAAAGTAGCTTTAGAAATATATATTTTTCTTTCTTTTTTTATTTATTTATTTTTATGTATTCCCCCCAATTTTTTTTTTTTGGGTGAACTGGCACATTCATTAGTTTTTTTATTAATATGTAAATATGAAAGTATCCACGTCGATGCGTAAAGCGTGAATTGGGCGTCAGACAAAAATGCCTGCAGGTCGCCCACCCTCTTGATGGAAGTTGGCGTGGTCAGGAGAGCTGTCTGAAGGGACGGGATCTTGAGCTACTTGAGTGACTCAAAGGGAACCTTCTGTAGTCCAGCAAGGACCAAGAGATCCCAAGAGGGGATGAGGTGCGGTCTTGGAGGATTTAACCTCCTAGCACCTCTCAGGAAACTGATCAGGTCATGCTTTCCCAAGGACCTGGCATCCACTGCGTCGTGATGTGCCGCAATGGCAGCAACATACATTTTTAAGGTGGAAGGGGACAGTCTCTGCTCCAACCTTTCCTGCAGGAAAGAAAGCACCACACTGATCAGGCATCTCCAGGGGGAGAAATGCGCACTTGCGCAGACCCCGGGGCCAGCTGTGTGCCAATGCATCTGTACCGAATGGGGCCTCGGTCAGGGAATAAAACAGCTGGCAATGGGAGGACATGAGAGTGCATCGGCTGCATGATTGAGCTCCTTTGGGATGAGTATGGCACTAAGCGATTAAAGCCATGTCATGTCATGTCTAAGCCAAGGAGGAGATGGTGGATGAGTTGCGACATGTGACAAGAGCATACTGTAATGACTGGACCGAGCAGACACACAATTGTTTGTTATATTTAACAAATAATCTTTAAAACTCACTCCGTGAGTTCCATGGACCATCCCCCAAAAGTGCAACTATCACTCCAAGAGGGCTGTTACCTGGGCTACCATCTGATAAGACTGTTTTATTGCTCAAATGTATGTGGAAAGATGCTATGTGCAATGTAACAGACCCTGTGAAAGACAGACACAGGCCTATAGAACGGACCTTTCCATACATAAATACATAGACAAAGCTTTCTATGAATAAACATGCATATTCCAGGTCATTGTCATCAAGTACAATCATGTATCCTATGTAATCATATGTTCTTTTATAGTGTTTTGCCTATATACTAAAACGTGTGCGTTTTGCCTATATACTAAAACATGTGTGCGATCTTGGTTATCTATGAGCTCCAAATTACGTTTCCTATTTGTTAATTTACATGACATTTTGCTAACTCTGTGACACATTAGTATTATAAGAATCTTGAAGATTCTCCTCTTGACCAGCCAAACCAGTTTCATATGCAAAAGACCCTGCTAGAAGACAAAGGATCGTAAAATGGTACCATTCCTCATTGGCTCACTCAAATCCTGAGGGTGTGACATTGTCTCACTTTAAAGATCACTGATCACCAGATCAGGGCGGTTCTTTTAGATTTTGAGAAGATGAGGATGCTGAGCTAGAAGTCTTTAAAGACCCTTAAGTTTTTAATCAGACCACTTTTATTCAAATGGGCAAGACATGCAAGTATCAAACTTAGTCTCATTGTTTGATCCATTAAGTATCCCCACCGCTTTTAAAGGAGGGTGTGTTAGAACTCAGAAACTGATGTTTTGCTTAAGGTTGTTGATCTGCTGAATCTCAAACAATAAAAAACGTCTTGCTTTCCTGTACTCTGCTTAAGCTCTCTTTCCATTGATAAATGTATGCATGTATGTGTTAGAATAGTTTAAGTGTTTAGTGTAGTTTAATAAAGTCTCGTTTTTATCACACTCAAGGTTGTATGTTGTTTTGCTCATAGCTGGAGTCCCTAATCATGCAGATTTTGGCTACATGCTCTGAGAAGTATTGTACAATAAGGATGTGATATCCCATACCCCGGAAATAAACATTTCTGAGATAATAAATAAATAACACCAAGTTCCTGTGCTCGCACAACAGATCTTGCGTGTGAGCTAATATAAGCTAGTTGTCGAGTCAGTTGAGTATCCGGATGCACACTTTGTGTAATGGGACAAGGGCACCCTCTGTGAAGACGCGGGGAAACAGAACAGCCCGAAGGGGAGGACTTCATACTGATATGCTCGACCCTCAAAAGCAAACCAATGAAACAGTCTGTGCCGAGGTAAGATCGAGACATGAAAGTACGTGTCCTTCAGGTCAATCTTGGGGCCAAACACATGAAAGGATGTGTTTCTGTGTCAACATCCCCAGACTCCGCACACACAGCACCAAAGGGACGATTGATGTACCTGCAGGATCGTCATGGATTTCAGGGCGGAGGCAGCCTGGCACTGTAAGCCATAGCAGCGAGAGCTGAGCTCAGCTTACAAGCTTTGGACAGGAGTCGTGGACAATTCCTCCAAGTGGCAGCGTTTTGCAGGCAGAGATGCACACTCAACCTGGGGAACGTCCACATACCCCTTGGCTGTCAAGTCATCAAGGTTGACATAGTGAGGAGGGAAGAGCTAGAGTGTGTAGGGTACCTTCCACACTTTAGTGAGCTCTTCATGCACCTCCGGAAAGAAAGGCACAGGAGCGGAACGTGGCTGTGAGTCATGCCCGGACTCCAGATGCCAATCATCCCCTTGTTCTTTTAGCTGGAGCGCCCTGAAATGCACCTTAAAACACAGCCTGAGAAGTCCACCAAGTCTTTTACTTGTAACTTCTTAGAGGCGATTAGCTGCTTATACAAGCATTCAGCTCTGAAGCAAATTCTAAATGAGTGGATGCATGCCGCCATCTTATATACCCATATGTACAGGGAGTGGCTAGGAATGCAAATTCAACTCGCCAATATTCATTGCTCGTTTCTTGTACCGGTCAGAGGTGATTGGGCTCCCAAGTGAGACCCCATAACGTCAGTTACTGTGACTGACTGAAAAGGAAAGGCATTTAAACACGGGACACAGAAAGTGCCTGTCCATTTTTAATTAGAGATACATGGAAAGCGGCAAATCACTGGCTTTTTTGGTAGCAGCGAAGGCGGTGTGCAATATTATAATATTCCAAATATTGTGGCAGTTTTAAATATTATCTTATGCTGTATATAAGTCCTCTGCTTCTCCTGTTTTCTTTCCGTACTTCACACATACGGAGAAAAGGCATGTGTGTTACTTTATTTTTATACAGTGGTGTAATATTTCATAGAACAGCATAATCCATTCTACTGTCTGATATTCATTTTAATTTATTGACTTTTTAAACTTCTGGGCTCAAAACAGCCCCCAACTCAGGCCCTGCCATACAGGAACAGAGAGGGTCAAGGATTTGGAGAGTGTCTACAGATTTTTTGTAGATATATGTATTTACGTGTATATATATATATATATATATATGTGTGTGTG